GAGAACCCTGTCTGTCCTGCTATTTATACATAGTTGGGGGTGGAGGAGAGGAAGAGGATTCATATCTTTCCCAAGGGTATTAGCAGGTGGAATTCGAACTCGGCTCTCCGATTCCTCAATCCGAGCCACTATTCATTACTTCATCGTTTAACAGACTACTTCTGTTATATCAGTAACTGTATTAATTCAAAATGTTTTTTTTTTAATGAAAGTACTTTAAAGTAATTGAAGGCGATAGATACTGTTACATTTAAATATGATGCTGGTTTTGCTCCATTCACTTTTTCTGGCCGACCAGTTGGGTATGGCAGCAAATAGTGAAGTAAAAAAAATATGCTTAATAGCTGGTTACTCGTTTTCTGGCACGCCCGTGTGCGAAGGCGACAAGCTAATCCATGTGGCAGATTTCCGATTGAATACATTTCTTCAACACTCACAAAGCTAATCTGTGATTCACACAGTAACTACAGTGTTTTTCAAAAAACTTTGATATCATTTGAAATGTAAATATCTCAGTAACTACATAGTCTAAACCAGTGGTCGGCAACTTTTTGGAGAGAGATAAGGTCTCGGAGATGAGGTATTTTAACTATTTACACTAGTTACATTGTGCCGCCTTTCGTCCTCAACTTTACTGTCCTATTCACGGCGTTCCGGCCGTTGTACACTCCGGCCTTCGTCAGGGTCTGTTTGTATTTTTGAAATGTGGTATTGCAACTATTTATATTATTTACATTGTTCTCATCTTTACTTTCCCGTTTACGACGTTTCGGCCTTTGTAAGATCCGGCCTTCTTCAGGGTCTGTCTATATTTCAGAAGTATTGTAAATATTTATTGTTCGGACTGTCGTCCTCAACTTTACTGTCCCATTCATGACATTTCAGCTGTTGTACGATCCGGCCTTCTCCCGGATCTGTCTATGTTTCTGAAATGTGGTATTGTAACTAGTTACATTGTTCGGACTGTTGCCCTCATCTTTAATGTCCCATTTACGACGTTTCGATCGTTGTACGATCCGGTCTTCTTCAGGATCTGTCTGTATTTCTGGGATGAGCTATTTATCTCTTTACACTATTTACATTGTTCGGACTGTTGTCCTCATCTTTACTTTCCCATCTACGACTTTTCGGCCGTTGTACGATCCGGTCTTCTTCAGGGTCTGTCTCTATTTCTGAAATGTGGTATTGTAACTAGTTACATTGTTCGGACTGTTGCCCTCATCTTTAATGTCCCATTTACGACGTTTCGATCGTTGTACGATCCGGTCTTCTTCAGGATCTGTCTGTATTTCTGGGATGAGCTATTTATCACTTTACACTATTTACATTGTTCGAACTGTTGTCCTCATCTTTACTTTCCCATTTACGACGTTTCGGCCATTGTACGCTCCGGGCTTCTTCAGGTGATATTGGTTAGAATTTCCAACTGACTCCTTTATTTAGTCCACAGGTGTGAGTGTAGGGAGTTAAGAGTCTTCTAATTCTACTTCCCACGTCTTTGGATTTTTCACTTTTTAGTTAAGTCACCTTGATAACTAAGTATTTTGCTCTCTCCGCAAGGATTGAACCCACAACTCCAAGTTACCTTTTGGATCAACCAATGAACATTTTTTATCCACTTGGGACACTAGTGAGTAAATTTTGGTGACTTATAAATTTAATGTTTCTGTAATTGTTTTTTACCAGATCTCATATTACAATTTATTGTTATTGTTGTTTTTCTCTACCTCTCTATATTACTGGTTCCCATATTGTATTCATTCCTATGCTTGACTGGCTTAGGAGATTTTTGTGGCTCAGCATATGCGCTGATTCCTTAAGTTTTCATATTTTCCATTGATGTTCTCTCTCTGTTATTTCCACCCCATCCCACAAGATGAAACCTTGTGAATATGACACTATCCCGAACAATGTAAATAATGTAAATAGTAACAATACCTCATCTCAAAAATATAGACAGATAATGGTTTTTGTTGTTTTTTTTATTGTTGAATTTGTATTTTAATTTGATATGTGTTGGAATTTCGAACCGAACCTTTTATTGGCATAGCACGTGGAATTAGAACAATCTACTCCCGTGGACGAAATAAAATATTCGGTTCGAGATTCCAACGTATATCATATGAAGGGTGCCGGAACGTATGACCCTGTTGCCGCGTTCTTCGTTGAACGACACTCTTACTCTGGCCACTGTCCATTGGTCCGTCACCGGTGAACTCACCTTGCGCCAATCCTGCACCCCCAGCCACGTTTCAGTATACGCAGGAATATCGATGAGGAACTGTCAAAGACCAGGCATGACTCTCCCCTCTATCTTGGCTAAGCTTGAAATTTAACTAACTCCAACAATACTCATTAACAACTTTTATTTATGGTACTGTGATTGATTAAGATCATGGAGGCGTAAACAAAAGGGATACTTTTAATTTTTAAATGTTTTATGGGCGTGTTGGATTAAACTTGCTCTGCACTAATCCTGCACTCTCCACCTTGCGTTTCAGTTTACTCAGGAATAATAATCTTAAGGTATTAAACTCACAACTTCTTTGGGTCAAGGCAATGGATTAACCAACCAATGTTTTTATCATCCTTGATGACATCAGCGCATGAATTTTTGGGACTTATAAACCTAATGACTCAGCAATCATTTTTTACCAGAGCTCACATTACAATTTGATGTTATTGCTCTTTTCTAGCTTTCTGTATTACTAGCTCCCATATTGTATCATTGTAACATGGGGTCGGAAGAGAGTTTTACAAGCGAGAAAAGAAACTGTTAGCATAGAACTTACGGTTACATCTCGCCAGCTCAAATGTACATTAATGAGACCTCGTCCCCAGTCTGGCACTGCGCTTAAATTCAAAAAAGTCTAGGGATCATGACGAAGATCATTATTTATTTCTGATATGTACAGAGAATGTGTCACGAGTCCAAAATGGGGAAAGGGGGGTGGGGGGGGCGGAGAGAAAGGACGGTCTTCTGTCTTAACATTAAACTTAGCTAGCCACAAACACTGACCGAAACATAGCACAATATTCCTAACACCGAAACAACGCATTCTTACTTAGCTTTCTTACTACATCCACCGTAATACCGCAATGTCTCTAATATAGTCCTAACTAGTACCCATATGTACAATTCATTGTCTGTAAGGGAGGGGAAAAAAACAATAAAAAACTAGCCCCATTAAGTAATTACAATATACGTTTAGTCATTGTGGTAACCTCTACCTTATACCCTCAGTTACGGTCAATGAGTGGAAACCTGCAATTTATATGGTGGGGTACTGTGTGCTTACTTGTATCTTATAATGTCGATAATTGAGTGGATATGTGTACGTTATACTTTCAGTCACTGAGTACCTTATACTGTCTATCACATTGTGGTTACGTGTACCTTATACTGTCAGGTACTGTGTGATTACCTGTACCTTAGACTGTCGGTCACTATGTAGGTAACTGTACCTTATACTGTCAGTCAATGAACGGTTACCTTTATTTTATACTGACGATCAATGAATGGTTACCGGTACTTTTTACTGTCAGTCACTGTGTGCCTTATACTGTCATTCACTGTGGGTATACATGTACCTTAGACTGTCGGTCACTATGTAGGTACCTGTACCTTATACTGTCGATCACCAAGTGTTGACGTGTACCTTATACTGTCGGTCACAGCGTGGTTACTTTACCTCATACGATCAGTTACTGTGTGCTTTTCTGTATCTAAAAGTGTCAGTCAGTGTATCTTATACTGTCGGGCACTTTGTGCACAGCTGTACCATACACTAACAAACATTGTGCAGGTACATGTGCTTTACACTGTCGAGCACTCTTGCGGGTACACAGACCTTTTACCGTGGAGCTCTGTGTGGGTACATCGACTTTACACTGTCGAGCTCTGTATGGGTACATGGACCTTTCACCATCGAACTCTGTGTGGATACATGGGCATTACACCGTCGAGCACTGCGTTTAGACATAGACCTTATACTGTCGAGCACATTGCAGGTATATGGACCTTTCACTCTCGAGCACTGTGTAGGTACATAGGTCTTACACTGTCGTGTACTCTGTGGGTACATGGACTTTACACTGTCGAGCACTGTGTGGGTAACCTTTCACAATCGAGTACTCTGCGGGTACATGTACCTTACACTATCAAGTACTCTGCAGGTACATGGACCTCACACTGTCAAGTACTCTGCGGGTACGTGGACCATACAGTGTCGAGTACTCTGTAGGTACATGGACTTAAACTGTCGAGCAATATGCGAGTAGATGGACCTTTCACTCTTGAGCACTGTATTGGTACATTGACCTAAAATTGTCAAGTATTCTGTCTATTAATGGACCTTACACTGTCGAGCTCTGTATGGCGACAGGGAGCTTACAATGTCGAACATTCTGTGGGGGTGCATGGACCTTACATTGTCAAGTACAGTATGGGTACATGGACCTTACTCTGTTCAGTAATGTGTTTGTACATGAACCTTATACTGTTGAGCAATGTGTGGCTATATGGACCTTAACTGTCAATATGGTACATTTACATTACGATATTGAGTCACCCCCCCCCCTACGAGGGTGTCATGTGGCACAAGGCCTTTTTAACGTGGGCATTCCGAGCCCGTGGGCTCGGCCAAAAATATGCCCATTGAACCCGTATAAACGGGTTCAGGGCCGGTTTTACCTCCCCGAAGGAGACTCCGCCATTCGGCGTAGCCTCCTTCGGGTTCCTCCCGTCCGTAGGAAGAGAGTTCAACCGAGCAGTCGGTTCAAAAGTGAACGACTGACTCACACGTACAAAGTGAACGACTGACTTACATGTACATTACACTCTCGACCGCGATGTGTGTACATGGACCTTAATTATTATTACTTTAGGCCTTCTTGAACTTATAATTCTGCTTACTTGACCCTTGTTTTTTTGTGTGTAGGTGCCTTAACCTTTGGTTTATTTCCCAGAATATTAATATTTCTTTTCTCTTATTTTGCAGCTGAACTGTGCAGCAGGTGCATGGAGCATCAACTATGTTTCGAATGATGCCCCCCGGAAGATTTTGCTGGTGCCTGTCGAAGCATCGCTTGTTACTCATCCTGGTTGTTATTTTATTCATCATGTGGCAAGTGTATGCGTACTTCCGTTACTCCTTGGCCGAATTTACGCAAAGAGTATCCAACAAAGACCTGAAGATCCTCAACGAAACTCTCCTCATCTTCATTCAAGCAGCGGAATCAGCCAATCTCACTTACTTTTTGTATGGTGGCAGCCTCCTGGGATCTTACCGCCACCATGGAATCATACCATGGGATGACGATGTTGACGTCATGATGAACTCCTCACAGAAATCATTAATTGAACAGACATTAAGAGAATATAAGCCTCGGTTTGGTGTTTATACACACCCCAAGACACAATGGAAATTCTATTATGCTAATACAAATACTTTATTAGACAAACCCTTCCGATGGCCATATGTTGATATATTCTTTTTCCAGGAGGACAAGGAATATATCTGGGACGAGTTACCGTCGTTCAAGTCTTCGTATACGCTAAAAAAGTCTAAAGTATTCCCTCTTCGTCGTCGCCCTTTTAATGGACTCCTACTTCAGACCCCTTGCAACCCAGAAGTTAGTTTAGAAAGTTATGATATTGAAAAGTGTGCAGCCAGTTCTTATTCTCATTACATTGAGCAATGGCTGCCCGTCTACAAATGGGCCAAAGTATCTTGTAGTCGACTGACTGACCGGTTTCCGTTTGTCAAACGGACGAAAATAAAGAACGGTTGGGACGAAATTCTTTGGAATGCCACAGAGAAACAGAACCATTTCGTGGCACCTGACAATTGCTAAAATCATGTTTTGTTTTTCGACATTTCCAATTTTTTTTTTCACTTGCATTCTCTTGACAATCATAATATTATCCTCATCATAGTTTGTATATAAAGTCGTTATTCATGTATAGAAAACCTGAAACATCCGAGCCCACTTATTGGCAAAGATGGTCTGTCTAGTCAGTTTTAAATGAATAACCAGCAGCGAATTTTAATGCGGTTGGTTCAAAAGAAAAAAAATATTTGGCAATCTTTAATCTTCGTGCCCGAAACCCCCCCCAACCCCCCAAAAAAAAAAAACAGAGTGCTAAAAGGACGTTTTTTCCTTGACACCGCTATTATTTTAACTACCTTCTACCCTCGGTAATGTTTATTGCTTTAAGGCGCGATAATTAGAATTTTTACGTCACCAAAACATATCATGAAAGTGAATTTATACATTTTTTAGGCAAAAATAGTAACCACTGATTTTTTATTATTTGCAAAAATAATTTTATATTGTCAGCATTCTAAAAACTAATACAATTAAAACTAATTTGATAATTTATCATTTACCAATTTATAAATACGAAAACAATTTTTATTCATAAATTTATAAACATTTTCTTTATTTTTATGTGCCGTGTCTCTTAAGGACGTAGACGATCATGGCCTTCCTCTTCCCCCTATCTCTTGAAGCTCTCAATAAGTTTTGTCCCTTTCCTACCCAGGCCATATTCTGTCATCCAGGTATGTCATGCATTGCTTTCCCTAGTCTCTCTTTCCCTCTATTCGACCTGTGAGTATCAGATTCTCCAAGCCCTCCTTTCTCATTACGTGCCCCAGAAATTACAGCTGCCTTTTCCTGGTGTATAAGCTTCCTCCATGTTTGCATCTTCTCTAAAACCTCATCGTTGCTCACACGCTCGGTCTATGATATCCTTAGCATCCTTCTGTAGAACCATACCTCCCTTGCCTCGTGTCTCTTCATCTTTGAGGAAACTCATGGCAGCGGAGGTATTGTTCTACAGATGTGGACCAACTATAAATGAATACTTATTATTTACCATTTTCTAAAGTCTGAATCAATTGGCACTTAGTCGAGATCTTGCCAATCATTTCAATCTATAACACTGGTCAACAACAAAAAAACAATAAATAAATAAATAAAAATAAAAATTTGAAATGGTGTCGAGACACTAAACATCTATATTAGCTAATTTGAAGGCGCTGAATCTGAAAATGACCTTGCTTTTTCTTGGTTATCTACCGTTTTTGCTGTACACAAATGCCTAATTTTTCTTTTTTTTTTATTTTTGGAAGGAAAGCATTTTTTTCATTTCTTTTCTGTACATATCATACTTACCGATAGCAATATTTCTCAAAATAAAATCGTAGAAACCTCTCAATTCGTATTTAAACCAACAAATATTGGTCTGCTTATCGAGATATATTTTTGCACTAACAATCGGACCCTATGTCTTTAAAAATAACACGATTGAATATACCAAGACTAACAAGTATTTTCATCAAATCATTTAATAAACTAACAACAGAAATAAAACCTTAACACAAGAACTATGGTAAAATTTTTCTTTTTCCTTATTTTCTGTCATGTTCAATGATATTTAAGCCCCTTTTGATACTCCTGCAGTAGTCAGCCATCAAGATATCAAAAGAATGGAAGAGCGCTAGTCAGTCATCATTCGTTTGTCTCACCGTCCTTGGTAGCACACTTCCATTGTTTTGATATCCTAATAGAATCGTTCTGCTTGCTCGCCACAATTATCCTGATTTTTTTCATCTAGATGGCTATGTAAAAAATGAATCTTAATATCATATTAGCGTCTATGACTTGTAAAATTTTCAACAGATTTTCCACTATCTCCTTGTCGTTTTCGGCCCGGCGATTGCCTAAGAATTTTTTTTTTTTTTTACCACGTCAACAAACAATGTCCAAGCGCGTAATTCCAGATCAGGATGTCATTAGATGTTCCTTATCTCGCTTAAAGGGAGATGTTACGGTGAAACCATTGTCATGATCTTCATCATATACGATGGAATAGGTGCATTCAATTGGGATGTCTTTAGTTGGAGTTGCTTTCCAACTGTGAAAACAAAATACTCCCAATGTGCTTGGTTTCCTTCCGTAGTGAAGGGATAAAAGTAATGGGATAAATTTATGAATATCAAACAGAAGATTTTAGGGCTTGGGTTTTTTTTTTTTGTTGTCACCTTTAATTATCAGGTTTACTAAAGTGTATTATTGATAAAGTTTATCAGTTAATTTGAATTTTGGCGATAAATTGGAAAATTCGGTACTTTTATTTTAAAATTTTTGACTCAAAAACACTTTTTTTTTTCTCATAAAAATAGTTTATTTCAGCTGGCTGACATAAATTGCTCGGCCTCTCTGAAAATTGATGGGTTTGTACGACCTTTATTAACTAAATTTTGTGATCAGTCTAGATCGTAAATTGATCTTTTTTTTCCCAAAAAATGAGCAGTTTCAGTACATCAAAAATGGTAACTAACCATGAAAACTAAGGACATTTTCGGAAGCAGCACCATCAAATTAGCTAAAGAAACGTGTTTTGTTTCTTGGCACCAAAAGTCGTGTTGACCATTGTAATATAATAGTCTAAATAAACAATCTAATAAATAAATAGTGTTTATTATATTTGTTGTCAAGTCTCAAATACAATGAACATGTATAAATTCAGCTTCATATGTTTTATTAAAATTCTAATCATTGGTTTTTTTTTTTTAAAAAGAATGAATTTTGCCAAGAAGAGAATGTAGTTAAAATAATGGCGGTTTCAATGAAAAAAAAATCTTTTTAGCACGCCGTTTTCTTTTTCTTTTTCTTTTTTTTTTTGTTACTGAGCACGAAGGTCAGTTTACCAAAAATTTAATCTTTGCCAATTATCTTTCATTTTGAGTGGGCAGTTTAATTTGTGATAGTCCTGGTAAATAGATTTCCCTTTTCTAGAAAAAATTGATATTACTCTGTTTCTTGTTTCAGACACAAGAAAGATGCGTTAAGTTAGACGCATTTATTAACTTTATTTCAACAAACGCAGTCGTCAATCTCCTTCTCCTCGTCTTTCTCTATTCTCAACACTGTCATTATTGTTGAATCTGGATTGTTATTTAACTTCCGTAATTTCTGGAAAAAAAATCATTTATCATCACCTTCCGTTAAGACAATGACATACAGAATTTTACAAAGGCTTTCTCCTTGTAGGAGATTTTGTTCACTAAATGTTTTATACATTGTCATTAAATTAACTGTAATCACTTCGATTTTGCAGTGTTTGTAAATTGTAGACCTTTTGTATATTCAGAGAATGATTCTTTTTTTCAACAGCTAAAATATGACGTCGTTTATATAACATATTCACACACACACACACACACACACACACAGTTAGTTACGCCTCTTGATTCCTTGGGGAACATAGGGCCGCAGCAACACCTCAAATATGTTTTTATTTTTATTTTTGGAAGATTTTTAAACCGAGAAGCAACTTTTGTTTACAAATGTGTCAAAATGGCCCATTTATGTATTATGCCTCTTGATTCCTTTGGGAACATAGAGCCGCAACAACATCTCTCCAACGGACGCGGTTCCAGACGATCCTCTTCAGCTCGGCCCATGTCGTGACGGCTGCCTTCACCTCTGCGCCAGCACTTCAGCGCCAAGTCTGTTTTGGTCGACCCACTTTTACCTTCCCTTGAGGATTCCAGTCAAGGCTCTGCGGAATGTGTGACCAATCCATCCCCATTTCCGTTTTTTGATGCCAATGTATTTTGGGGCTTGTCTTGTCCTGTCCGGCAGTTGGTCATTGGAGACGACTTTCGGCCACCTGATATCGAGGATGTTCCTGAGGCATCGGTTGGTATATGTCTGAAGTTTGTGGAAGTTTGTATTTAATACTGGAAGAAACATCTTAAACATATTTAATAACTAATCCTCCAAATAATAAACACCCCCCTCCTTGTTAATAATGAATTAATCCATCACATTATCTAATTACCCAAAATATTATCTATAAAATTAAAATAATAAGCAACCTACTATATATATATATATATAGAGAGAGAGAGAGTTAGTTAGTTAGTTACGCTTCTTGATTCCTTGGGGAACATAGGGCCGCAACAACACCAAGTATTGTTTGGGGGGGGGGGGTTTAAAAGTAACTTTTGTTTACAAATGTGTCAAAATGGCCGATTTATTTATTATTATGCCTCTTGATTCTTTGGGGAACATAAGGCCGCAACAACACCTCAAGTATTGTTTTTTTTTTTTATTTCCGGAGGATTTTTAAAATCGAGAAGTAACTTTTATTTATAAATGTGTCAAAATGGCCGATTTATTTATCATTACGCCTCTTGATTCCTTGTGGAACATAAGGCCGCAACAACAACTCTACAGGCGATCCTCTTCAAAACATACAGCCATGATGACAGTTCATGATAACGGAAAGTGCTGGGTAAAACTCCATGGACTATGGCCTTATTTTAACAACATAGAACCAAATATAAAAAGACTTGTGAAAAAGCAAGAAAAAAAAAAAGATGTGATCTTCAATTAAGAGAAAATAATTATATATATTTAAAAAAAAATTGAGATATGATTATTTGTTAGAAATTTTATTATGACAAAAAAGAGAAAAACATTTTATGATTAAATTTTGCTCCCATCAAAATATCCACCTCTAGCCTTGATTACTGCAGCACACATTTTTGGCTTATTAAACGGAAAAGTTCCCTAGTCTTCAGCAACACATGCCTCAATACATATATCTTTAACACTCAGTAGAAAGAAATTAAGAAGAGAAAAGAACTGGGAAACAAGAAAAGGATGACAACATTCGACATATGCGTATATACATGTATAGGCACTCATAGAACAAAAAAAAAATCAAATTTCTGCAACCCCCCTGACATGTCATCAGAATCATTGCAAAACGATTCATCTATGAAACTGTAGAGTCTAAGTGCTTAATATAACATCACTCAACACAGTGACTGTTATGGGGTCCTCCCCTTTTCATATAAGTGGACTCTACCAGTGTTACTTGGAGTGCTGCCGTTAAATACCCAGAGTTAGACAGTGAGAGAGAGATATATACGGATAGTGAGAGAATATACAAACGGAGATAGTGAGGTAACCTCGTGTAGAAGTCGGTTACAAGCACGTAGACTCTAAGGAAGTCCTACTTCGAGACTGTATATATCCATCTGTATTTGCTACTAACCGCGTTCCTGGACTTACTAACAGTATTACTCTTTGTATGATTGTGTAAATACATTTTATTTCTTATATTTAATTATTGCGTTTGTCATTCCTTGGAATCCACAACAGTGACAAATTTTATTTGTATTAATTCTATACATATATATATAATTATTTATTTAAAAAAAATTATAACATAAATATGTTATAAAATCACTACAAAAATAGCCATTTTGTTTCAACACCTCCGGTGTCTTATCAAGTGATGATGATGTTGAATGTAAAACATACATTCACATTCAACATCGTCACTTGAAAACCCGTTCCGTTTACTTGCTTCCCTGATAACTACAATCATCAAAAATTTAAATACAACGTCAATCGCTATCTTCTATCTTCTTGAATCCTGTTAATATTTTATCCTTTCCTCAATAATTCCTTCCTCAATCGCACCCTCCATACCCAGTTTTTTCTCTCACTTCTACTCTCTAAAACCGAGTATACTAGTGGCACTACCGCCTTGTTTTGCAGTGAAATGATTACCCCCCCACACACACACATATATCTATACATATATATATATATATATATATATATATATAGGTAACAATCTGTTGGTATATAATGCAAGAGAATCCTAATAACTGATTCACATGGAGAGTTCAAAATTTTATTCAAACAGAGCATATATCTTACAATAGGAATTAAGATTACTCCATGTTATAATATTAATACATATATATATATATATATATATATGTATGTATCTTACAGGCAATTGGGATTAAGATTAATTTCAAACCGATTAGGTTAATAAGAGAAAATAAAATGAAACTGGCTTAAAACAAATTTTAAAAGCCAAGAAGAACAGAAGCAAAGGTTTGCTTCTGCATGGCCTTTAAAATCTGTTTTAAGCCAGTTTCATTTTATTTTGTCTTATTAACCTAAGCGAATATTGGAATAATAAAGTTATTCCAATATTCTCTTGAAGATGAAACGAAACTAAAGCTTTTGATTTAATTATATAATTAAATTTAAAGTTTTTAGCTTCCATTTTTGAAACATGGTTATTACTGTGTAGCGAAAAACATTTTTTTAAATCCGTTAATTTATAATATTATATATATATATATATGTATATATACACATACATATATATACATACATACATACATACATACATATATATATATATTCGGTTAGTCATCATCAGGCACTTGTTGCATCAACATGAGATATTCTTCTCCACAAAGTCTGATCGCTAACAGCAGAGCTCAAAGTGTAAATGTCTAATCCAATCCATAAGTGGACATTATTAAGCCAGCGTTTTCATTGTCGACCATTGCTTCTCTTACCGGTTAACTTTCTCCCGCCATCAGTTGATTTTTTGACATGACCATATTGTTTAAGTACTCTTGACTTGATAACTGATGTGATTGGTTTAAGTTTGATAGTGCTGAGTAGCTCATTGATAGAGATATGGTCGCTGAGGCGTTTTTTTTTATGCCTATCACCCCAAGAAACGCAGGAGTGCTATTAGTATGCAAGGGGTTACAGAGAGTGAGGGTAAGACTGAAGAGGTGCGCTTGAGGAAAGGATATAGAGAAGGGCGGGGATTAGGATCAAGGCATCAGAAGATGTCGATTGACATTACATTTGAATATTTGAAGATTATAGTTACCAGGGAAGCAAGTAAGAGGAAGGGAGTTCCACTGTCGGGAAGTGCGAGAGAAGAAACTGTTGGAGTAGAAGAGACGGCTACATCTCACGGCTTCAACAGTGAAAGGATGGGGCCGAGATGCCAACCTAGTAGCACGCTTAAATTCATGCAGTTGAGGTACCAGTGAAAGTAGCTCGTCAGAGTAGTTGCCATGAAAATATTTGCAGAAAAGACAGAGTGGGGGCCACATCACGTCTGTAGAGTCGAGATGCCACTATCACATTACATATCTGTCTTACACCTAAGAAAGGACCTCTTTCCCAAGAACCGCTGTTTTATGGAACAGACTCCCGAGAGGACGCTTCCCCGATCACTTTGATCTAAACCCACAGAGTCGAATCAACATTATTTCCTTTCGTATTTCATAGGTAAGAAGGCGGTTACATTTGGAGATCTCTTTTCCAACAACTGCTTCTTTGTGGAACAGACGCCCGAGAGTATGTTTCCTCGATCAATGCAATCTTAACTACTGTAAGTCTGGTGTTAACCGCTATCTACTTTCAACAAACCCATTCAGTAATGCTCTATATTGAGTGGCACTTAGGTCTTATACTGGGTGAACAATAGTAAAAAAAGAAGAAGCGCCATTACGTTTAGTTCACAAGAACAAAAATTAATTACTTATGACACAACTTAATGTATCAGTTTGGTCATTTATTCTTTTTATCAATTTTGATTCTTCGAAATACATCAGTCTACTCATATCTATCTATCTATCTATCTATCTATCTATCTATCTATGTCTACTCATATCTATCTATCTATCTATCTATGTCTACTCATATCTATCTATCTATCTATGTCTACTCATATCTGTCTACTCATATCTATCTATCTATGTCTACTCCTATCTATCTATCTATCTATCTATCTATGAACCTCAATTTAGGGTGTGGCAGAAATACCGCCCACATTTTAAACATATACAAAACGACCAAGGTAACTGCTGTAAAAAAAATATTTCACTGTTTTAAACAATGGACGACATTTTATATCCATTAGATCTTAAAAAGGCCCTCCTCCAAATGGCGACCTCTGTTCGCCATTCGCTGTTGTAGAACTTTTCTAAAGTTTTCTATCACCCGGAAGTTCGTGTGCTTTGATGTCTTTTAGGTGGCTTTCTTTTAAGTGCCGAACCTGTGGCCCTGAAATGTTCAACCCATAGCAGAATCTTTTTTTCTATCCAAAAGAGCATCATACAGACATAACAGGAAGTGAGCAAGAAAAGCTCTCATTGTTGCAATTAAAGATTCACCAGTCTTGGAAACGTTTCAAAAGCAAACGCATAGTTTGCACCTGTTCAAGACACGATGGTAATGGATTGGATCTGAAAAGAAAATGGTAAGACATTAACTAGATGATACCAGTGGCACTCCTATCTATCTATCTATCTATGTCTCTTCATATCTATCTATCTATCTATCTATTTTATTCTAACCCATTTCTATCTATCTATCTCAGTCTACCCATTTCTATCTATCTATCTATCTATCTATCTATAATGTGGCAGAAGTACCGCCCACATTTTAAACATTGAGAAAAAGAGCAAAGTAACTGCTGTAAAAAAAAAAAAAAAAAAAAAAAAGTATTTCACAGTTTTTAAACAAGAGACGACATTTTATATCCATTAGATATTAAAAAGGCCATCCTCTAAATGTTGACCTCTGTTTGACATTCGCTGTTGTATAAGGTTCTTAAGTTTTCCATCACCCGGAAGTTCGAGCCCATTGATGTCATTTAGGTGGCTTTCTTTTAAGGACTGAACCTGTAGAAAATGGTAACTCATCAGCTAGATGAAGACACCATTACCACTTACACCACACAGCGTTTAGAGGTAAGTTCGCTACCATCAATTCACCACGGGAAAGCTTACAGCCATCAGATCACCACCAGGAAAATTCACCGAGAGAAACGTTTTCTATCCAGAAACTTCACCATATAAAATCATTAGATTTTATAATTAATATATATATATAATCTTACATACACCGGCCTGAATGTTCGAGAATGTTTTAGAAAATATGAGTTCTCCAACAGGTATTTCAACCTGTATTCTATAGTAAATGATCATCAAACTTAACGTGCTATGACCGTTCAGCCACAGAAAACATCCTGTTAGCAAAGCTCAAACTACTGCTTTTTTACTGTAAGAGAACACATATTTTATACAAAATTTCTTGAATATTCAGACCAGTAAATGTAATTAATACTATTTAATTAAAAAAAAAACAACAAAAAACAGGGTGTTTACTCAGACAAGTGTATCTATAAAAAACGTATAAACAGAAAATATGTTAAAATATTTGGCAGATATTTAATACATTTCATCTATCTACATATATATATGTATATATATATATATATATATATATGTGTATATGTATATGTATATATATATATGTATATGTATATATATATATATATATATATATGTATATGTATATATATATATATATGTATATATGTGTGTGTATATATATGTATATATGTATATATGTATATATATATGTATATATATATATATATGTATATGTATATATATATATATGTATATATATATATATATATATATGTATATATATATATATGTATATATATATATATATATATATGTATATATATATATATATATATATATATATATATGTATATATATATATATATATATATATATATATATATGTATATATATATATATATATGTATGTATATATATATATATATGTATATATGTATATATATATATATGTATGTATATATATATGTATGTATATATAT